CACACACACACACACACACACACACACACACACACACACACACACACACACACACACACACTTACTGTAGGAAAGGTTTCGCACATTCGCTTTAATAAAGGTCTTAAATCTCACTGTGAATTTACTCCATATACTAACATTTGAGCTCCGAGTCTTTATCATTGATTAGAAGTCAAAGGGGTCTAGGAAGACAAGTGGCATTTACTTAGTTTGTGCACATACCATTTTATTTTGCAGTGTGGAATTCATAGACATTATAGGTGCTTCCACTTGGTTTTGTATCCAAGAAAATGTGGTTCGGATGCAGTTATCTTGGTTCATAAACATGCCTGCTTGCTGAACATTAGGTGGTAATATGTGTACTGTCTATCTCCCGACAGTATGGGTGGAATCAAGATGGACGGAAACAACTCCTAGTTTTGATGATTTAATCAAATCTAAATAGGTTGTTAACCTTAGAAGAAAAAGGACAACAACAATACACCAATTAGGATCACACATAACCCATACACATTAAATCACATTCAATATAATAATCACACTTACTAGTGGCCTCTCCTGATTCCTCAATCTCAATGACGTTAATTTATGTATCCCCTCACATTATACATTATACACATCAATAAACCCCGAGAATCTCCATCCAGATTTAAAGTCACACTCACATAAACTGAACCCCATTAATTGAACCCTCATACACCCAGTACAAACCATGAATTTACAGCACAATTGTCTCATCAGTCTCTGTTGGAGTAATATGTTCCTAGATCTTGGCAATTGAGATGAGTACAATGTTAACTTGAAGTCAAAAATACAATTATAAGCAGAAGGAATCATCATTGAAAGGAAGTGTGACAGTGTCAACCTCTCAGTATTTAGACATGCCGATTTTAAGATATACCAAAGATGTTCATGGTTGTAAAATACAAGCTAATAATGTAAAAAGGGGCCGAACATGCTCACTATAAAAGGTCAAACTGGCTCTGACAAACACACACTCAGCAGCAGTTAAGGTCAGTGTCACGTTAGACAACTAACCGTCACACAAGCATGCATAGGAGAGTGATTAAACGTGACTAAGAGTGATGTCTTTAATCTCCTGCATGTAAATCCAGGCCATGGCCTTATTCCTTCCTCAGAGCTCTGAGCAGAGAAGCTGGGTGTGGCTGCAGACTCTGGGTTGAACACATCTTTGATTTTCACAAGAGCCAAGCTTAATAACACTTCTGCTGCCAATTATCCACCAAGCCACTGCAGGCTCCAAAAGTATTGCTACCTTTGAGCCAGGGTATTACCTGAGCAAAAAGGTTAACCATGCCATGGCCGTACAGCTGAGATCAGCCCCAGCTAGCTCTACATTTCATGAATGTTACAGTAGGGGGAGGCTAATTCCTGAATCATTTGCCTAAAGCATGCATTCAGGTATAAAGGCATTAAACCAGGCTGTTAATGAAAACATAGCGACACACCTCCCTCCTCCTCTCGCTGGTTAACAAGAGCTTCAAGTCTCATCCTCTCCTCTCCTCCTCCCCCTAATCTTCTCTCTCCATCCCCCTCCTGTGTAACCAGAGAGGGTCTCATTTTCTCTCTTCTGTCTAAATCTGAGTAATACTCAATTCACTCAACACATTTGCAATTTCGCCTTATTTTCTCATATTCATGTCTTTGTTATTGCATTTGTAAAAACAACTCACCTTGTTTTTTGAGGCTGCTCCTGAAGGTTTTTCGATATCATTGCAGTAGAAAACATACTTTAATGTGAACACTTTTTTTTAAAGAACCAACATGTTCCCATCAGGTGAATTTGTTGAATTTATTTTCTATCTGCATTGCAGTATATTACTTTTTTTGGGGGTTTGATATCTACATGACTTGTAAAGCTCCTCACAAATTACCGGCGCTGTCTCTTTCTCATTACAACTCATTTAAAATGTATCTCACACACTTACACACAGCATGGATGTATTTTAAGATTCATCGTGACTTCCAAAAGTGCACACAAGTTTCAGGTTCATTATAAGGGAAGATTTTTCCTGTTAACGATCAAGTTAGGAAGTTTTATGCCGTGCAAAGAGTAAGTTCAGTTTCGTCATTATCCTTGCGCTGCTTTTTTTAATATATATTTTTTTTTACTGGAAATGGCCTTTTTACGAGCTACTAGCAAAGGATTTGGGGTAAAGTGTGGTGAAAAGAAGGGAGTCAGATGAGGTTGTACAGTACACTTGGGTACACTTGGGTGGTGCAATAAATGTGCTTAATTTCCACTAAACCCTTACTGCACTCCTCAGCACTTAAACAAGACTACACTAAATTGTAAAAGCACAAATGTATTGGCCTCAATATGTACGTTAAATGCCAAAAGTACTAATTTTGCAGAATGATATATATATTAAATAGTTGGATTATAATTATTGATGCATTAATATGTTTATCACTTTAACTTTGCAGCTTGTAGCGGTGAAGCAATTTTTAAAAAAAATCGTATATACAGCAAGGTAGCTGTTGACTTTACCATGGGATCAAGAACGTCTTATCTTTAGATAGAGATTTGTGCAGTGGTGTGATTTTAACCATCTTGTGCTGAATGTGAAGAAGACTGAGGAGATGGCGTGGAACCCGAAGGCAGTGGGTGACCTTAGCCCGGTGGTTATCCACAATGAACCCATAACTCAGGTCAGCTCCTATAAGTACCTTGGTTTCCATCTAGATAATACACTCAGCTGGAAGGCGCATGTTCAAGGTCTGTGCTCTAGACTTCAACAGCAGTTGTACTTTCTGCGCCGACTCCGGGCTTTCGGAGTCGACCAGAAGTTCATGTTACTGTTCTATCATGCAGTGTTGGAGAGCATCATTAGGTATGGTATTACTGCCTGGTACGGTAACTTGACAGTGCAGTCAAAGTCAGATCGCTCGCCTGGTACAGACTGCTATGAAAATTATGGGGGTTAAAAAACACCCATGTCTCCAAAACATATACGAGCATTCCATTATCAGAGAGGCAAAAAGGGGTTCAGGGTTCCCAAGAGCAGGCTGAACCGCTATAAGCACTCATTCCTACCTATGTCCATTAAGCTTCTTAACATTCACATGAAATGTAATTAAATGTACTTTTTAAATGTTGGCCATGAGGGTTGTGCAATAGGTCGCCATTGTCAGTGTGTGCGTCTGTGTATTGTGTTTGTTCAAACGGTGTATGACTGATGTATGCGGAACTGCAGGACGGAGTCCAGAACAAATGTCCTTACGGGGACAATAAAGTATATCGTATCGTATCTTAAAGAGGCCTGATTATCTCAAAATGGTCTCCAGTTCAAATTATTCCAACTTTGACACTTTCAAAGCTCAACCAATCAGATGACACTGGTTGTCGCGGCACAAGCTAGCAGAGGCGGTAACCACAGAAACGAAAAACACAACTGGTTGTTTTCACCTCAAATTCGTGGCCAACATCGCGGCAATCAAAGACAAGATCACGTATCGTGTGAATGCAGCAACACGTCACATGAAAGACGGGGACATGCAAATGAATGGCACTTCTGAGTAACCCATCCTGTTCTGATAATAACACTGTACTGTATGGCATGTCTGGCTAAGACAATAAGTGATAACATAATAATAATAGAGCAGTGTGCAAAGGTTCCCTCTCTTTCTCCCAGTCTGTCTTCACGGCTGATCTTGCTTCCTCCATCTCTTTCCTGGTCCATCCATCCAAACCTCCTCAGTCTGTAATGAATCTTCACAGGTCTTCCTTCCTTGTCGATGTCTCCTCCTTCACACTTCTCTTGCCGTCTCCTCTGTTCTCTATCCTCCATCCAATCTAAGCCTCACTCTTCTCCTCTTCCTCCACCAATCCCTCCCTACCGCTCTTTCTGCTGCTCTACCACAGTGATCCCGAGGTTAATTAGCCCTCCAAGTGTCACAATGTGAGATCCTCTCTGCCTACCTGCTTGCTGCCCTGTGATTACCTCAGTGGGAGGAATACAAAGCTTTAGGAGTCAGGCGTGGGAGCAGGCAGAGAGTAAGAGAAATAGAGGAGGTGGTGCAAGGAGGAAGCATGGACAGAATAATGATTTCAAGTGACATTTATGGGAGAAAGGGGGAATAAAGGAGGGAGGACAGACAAGTTGGAATAGGGGAGCAGATAGAAAAGGAAAAACAATATAAGAGTAAATAGGAGAGGAGGATAGTAAGAGGAAAGAAGAGGGAGTGAGAAATATGTCAGAAGGATGGATAAATGTGAGTAAACCAATTGGACGATAGAAAGAAAGAATACATGGCAGTGGAGAAAGAGACAAATTGGTATCAATTTAGAGAATGATGGATGAGTAAATAAAGACAGCTAGTGAATGGATGAAAGAAACGGTGAAGGGCAAGAAATAAATGAAAACGACCGAGAACTAAGAAGGGAATATAGCAAGTATAAAGGGAAAACTATGAGGATAGACGGAGGGTTGAAAGATAAAAAGAAGCAATAGGCATTGCAGATGATGGATAGAGGGACAGATACAAGTGTCCAATGCAATAAAAGAGGGGGAGATTGAAGGCAATAAAGCGGTAATGTCCAGAGACTACAAAGAGGTTATAGATGAAAAGATTTACAGTGAAAAGAGGGAAGGAGGAACAAGATAAAAGGTAAGACAGGGGATGTGGGAATCAGCAGGAAACACAGTTTAAACATAACAGGAGGGAAAAGAGGGGGTGGGGTTGATTGACAGAAAGAAGGGAGGAGGTAATGACACATGGGGATGATTTAGAGAAATATATGAGGAGATGGGAAAATCTGATGGAAAAGAAAGGAGGTTGTTAACGGAGATTTAGAGGAGGGAGGAAATGGACAGAAACAAAGGTGAAGGATGATAGTAATGACGAGGCAGTGTTATTTCTGTTTTCCATTGATAACAACCCTCTTGATTGTCTTGAGCAACAGCAGGTGTTCCAACCGTGAGGAAACTTGATATTGCTGGAAATATGTATATCTTTTATTATTTTTAATAACTCACCACTCCAAAGTCCAGATTCTGTTCGATCCACTCCTGGCCGTCCTTGAACTCGTCGTGCAGACCCATGATGTAGAGGCTGTCCAACGCGTCCACAATGGTCGCCCCCAGCTGGGAATTGCCTGCACGAGACACACAATAAAACTGATTGATTAATTTATCCAGTCACGCACTAACTAATATTCTTTATGCAAAACCTTGGTCCTCTGGGAATTAGGAGTAGGAAAACTAATATCAAAACACAATGGGTTTAATCGTGAGGGGGAAAGTAGGAATAATAAATTACTCTGATGAATTTGAATATATTCAATTCAAACTTTTCTGCATGCAAACACATGAAGGAACTGCAAAGTCCATGGAAACAGATGCAAATGGTGCTCAGGCAAACACTGAGGGAATCAATTCATGTGGCTAATCAGGTTGAGTCAGATGAGTCTGAACACTTTGGAGAGATTGGAGAAAATGTTATCGAAATGGAAATATGAACCAAGCGCAAAAATGTTGTAAAGTCTAAATATGTAAGAAAGATATCATTCTGAATTAAAGGTCCCATGTCATGCTTTTCTGGTTATCACCCGTCCCCTTGTGTGTTATCAAGATTTTTCTGCATGTAAACGGTCTGCAGAGTCACAAACCCTCAAAGTACAACCTGTAGGGAGTAAAACTCTAACACAGAAAAGACCTGTCTATGCTGCCCCAGAACGCCTCGTTGGAGATTTCTCTTTTTCATTTGGTGCTTCCGGGAACCAAGTGACGTAACGACGACCCCATGGACCAATTGGACCAATCCGCGGAGCCGTTACATGTATTATTCCTCACACACACTCACTCAATCTTTTCTCAGCTGCAGCTCCGCCGATTTCTCCTCCCTGAGACGGCGGGACGCGGCGAGGCTGTGAGTCGGTGTGTGAGCACACACAAACTCCCAGCCAGGCTGCGGGTGTGTGTGTGTTTCGGGCTGGGTTTCGCTGTGTCGCAGACAGCCACTGGGCTCATAGGGAGGGGGGCAGGACCTCCAACAAGCCGTTTAGGACAGAGAGTGAATACACATACTATACAGAGATGCTGTTTGAGAAACCAATGTGAGTTTGGAACAGTGAACAATATAAATCTATTCTAGTCGACCTCAACAATGGAATTATGATCGGTAGAAATGGCCATGACGTGGGACCTTTAAGTATTGTTCTGCTTCCTATAACATACTATCCAGGCCAACTAGTAATCTACAGACTTAATAAATAAATCCATGTTTGGTACAAGATCCATACATTTTAATGTATTTTTGTATGATAATGTTAAAAAGTTTCAACAATGGTCCTTCACTTTTATACCGCAAATCATATCGCAATTGTAAGAACAATACAAAAAAATAACACAATTCGTGTTTTTTTCAAATCATGCTTAATCACAAATGTGTTATTTTTTCTTACACATTCATTCCCTTCATATTTCAGATTCTTCCACTCTCTCATAACATGCCACTATTTCTTCCTCCCCAATCCTCTTTGGCTATATAAAGGATGATAATACACACTATGTGTTGAGATGCTTCATTAAGTTACAGCTGAGCAGAAAATCACTCCTCTCCTCTTCCTAAGCATCTATCCAATGCTCTCAGTATCCCCAGCAGAGAGCTGGAGAACGAGCAGAGCGGCGTGAGTGTGAAGCAAGAACCAGATAGAAATAGAAATACAGAGAAGAAGAAAGCACTAGAAGTAAGAAGCCAACAAAAAAGAAAGGACATAACCATTGACCTTGCAAATAGTTGCAAGCGTCTTTGAGTTTCCTGAAAAGCGCTATACAAGTCTCATGATGTATTATTATTATTATTGAGAGTAGCAAAGCACGGCTAGCAAAGAGACAAAAAAAGATAGAGAAATATAAGGAAGACAAAACTGGTAATGCTAACTATCATTTAAGCAGTTTACAAAATCATATGAACAGGAGAATTCAAAATCTTACTAAGCCCTTCTCTGCGTGCTCCAGATTTCAATACGCCAATATCTCTTGATGCAATCTTAATGTGTACGTTGTGGGGGTAGCTATACAACGGCAAAGAAAAGCTTATATTGACATGCAGCAAAGACTCAATTGCCCTTGGAAAAAACACCCAAACGTCACTGAGCATGTGCGGTGCCCTCCAGGTGTGTATCTGTTGGCTCAGGGTTGAACTGAATATCTGAATGATGTTAAACCTCCACTAACTTGATCTGTGATCAGTGGGAATCCCACCGTTGTTGTGTCTCAACTAAACTGCTCTTCCCCTTGATTACAGTAATCTGTGCTCGACACAATTAGGTCAGTCTCATTCAAGAAAAAAAAGAAATCAAGCTGGAGATAAAAGATCAAATGGAGATAAAATATCAAAGGAGTCATATCATCGTGAAACTCAAATGATCTTCATTCGCTTGAGATGCATTGCTGTGTATCATACACCTAAAAACTGTGATGATCTCATATACCAACGCAGCTCTCGGTCAATACGATGGAGAATTACATTGTTGGCTAAATACAGGAGCTGTTGTTTCTCTACTATTGATCAATCACCCCATAAACCCCTTCAACTATATTAGCTATTATGTGCACCGAAGAAATATAATGCTACTTATTGAATCTTTAAAAAGGTTGCAATTGATCAAGTGTTGGTTCTTATCACTGCTGTTGTTCCACTATTAATTCATCATTTTAAATGATCACAGCTAACTCCCTGGCTCCAGTTTGAGGCTGTGATCTCCTGATAATACACAGTTGTTTATGTTGTGCTTTAAAAACAAATACAGGGTTTGAGTGTATCGTCAGTATCGCATGCCCTTGTGGTAAGGCGAGGCAAGTTTATTTATATAGCACCTTTCAACACAAGGCAACTCAAGGTGCTTTACAAAAATGAAAGACATTCAGACAAAGGCATTTAAAATCAGTAAAAGATAATAAAAGAAACATTAAAAGAAAAAACACATGAATAAAAAGTTACAGTGCATTAAGATATGAATATTTCACACAGAAGTTCCACTTTACTGATGAACACAACGGTAGGGGATTTAAGAATTGTAATTACAAACGGGGAACACACAGGTCAGTCAGTCCTTGTCCTTTGGCCTGGCCAGTTTATTTTTAATCCATATTGTTTTCTACTTTCCTTTAGTTGGGTTGGTGCCCAAAAGCTCTCAAGGGATGGCTCTGAATAAGGCTCCTGCTGAAGAGAATACCACTTAATCCCCAAATTACCATTATATATTAAGAGTCTTGCTAACAAAATCAATCATTAAATAAAGATATGTTCTTGTTTTTACTGCAGCTGTCGTGACAATCAGGAATGTTACCTAAAATGATCATAACTAAATAATTTAAGATCAGTTTGAACCTTTTGCAAGAACAGTACAAGTGTTGCGCTACAGCACCCAGCTAAAGCCACCTTTTCACGTCATGTCCCCACTGTTGGAGTTCTTTGCACTTTTAGCACCGTTAGCTAGCTGGTAGCTCAGCAAGCACCTTGTTATGCTACGAATTCGATTGAGAATTAATTTCAGTGCTCGAGGCAGGCAAACTGTATTGTTATTAAATACTAGGATTTATGCTAATCATTTATTATGTTGTCTTGTTGTACTTTTAAGCAAAATGTGGGTATCATTGCATCATAGACTGACAACAAACCTTTGTGTTTTAATTCTTATATCATAAATAGTTGGATTTCCGTTTTAATGTAAAATATGTTTTGATGTACTTGCATTAACACAAACCCAGACAAAACATCTTTAAGACAAATAAGTAAATCTCTTCCTTGAATTGTAAAATAATTCGGCATGATTTTCCTAGATCTCATCAGATGATCTAAATCCAACTCTCCTGCTGTTAGCTCCATTTGTTTGGCTTCAATGAGCATTTATAACACGTCAGTGGCCAAAGTCAGTGGCACTGCCCCAAATCCTTCTCAATTTCATATCACCAGCAGTGTGTCCTGCTCGAGTTCCTGAGCCTCCCCACTATCCCTCCTCATCTTTGGGTCCATTGAAAAGCAGAGTCTGGCTCCACGCAGGAGCTGCAGCGTTATTATCACTATAGACAGGGACCTCTAAATCACACTAGAAATACTCTGCAGTCGGTCAGGCTGATAGCAGGACGCCCGGCATCCCGACAGATTGGCCCGACTGTTGGTGGAGCGGTGCCCCCTCTGCTGCACCACAACCACACACACCCCCCCCCCCCTCCTTCTGTCACTTTCTTCACCCGCAGGTACGCTGCAGGCCGACCCAGCAACGTGACACCATTCAGGCAGACATAGTCGCATGTCAAAGTTCTTAAGATGGAGAATCTTCCATTGATCTCAAGGTTTTGTGTAACAGCTCCTGAATGCATTTAGTCCTCTGTGTTCATGACAATAATACACCAGAGATGTGATGTTGACATTGTGGTAGAAAATATTGGGGGAAAGTATTTAGTAGTTTGAGACCCTTATCTTTTATTTGCTCAACTCCATTAGTGCATTCTCGCGGGCAAAGCTATCACAATAAACAAAAACCTTTCTCTTGTTATGGCTGAGACTGTGTACAATATAATCCAATGAAGTAGTATTTCATCACTCACACTTTATAGGTTGATATGTTTATTTTTGAATGCTTTCAACTGATTAAGCCTAAAAGACTACAGTACACAATAAAAGGAAGAACTGAAAGTATATCCGATAAAGTATTTAAGATAAGATGCAACTTAAAGGTAAAGAAAGCAAAGCATATTCATATCATCCTTAGTTCAGCTGCATTTACAATACAGTTGTGTAGCTGAATTCCTTTTTTCTTCCATGTATTACTTAATGCATGTTATGTTATTTAGGGTATTGTTAGGCTTGTCACCTACAAATATTACATTTAGACTAGAGACATGTTTTTTTCTTTACTTAACTGCGAGAGAAAAGAAAATGAAAGACCTAAAGCATATTCAATTTAAATGTCAAGTAAAAGCTATCCTTGGGAATAACTGCAAATTGTAGTTCTTTCTAAAAAAACATAAACTAATTCAAGGTTGTGGTTCATCCTTCTATTAGTATTCAACCTTTCTAGCTGTTACAAATTACCCAGTGAACTTTGGTTCTCATTTATTTCTCAACGGCCCCAATGTTTTATTTCAC